ACAGTAACTGCTTCCCAGAATCCTTCTTTGGTGTCCACATCCACTGCAAAGTAGAAAGCATGTGGCTTCATGTGCAGCTGTGATATTTGAAAATCTCTTTCCATAGGTGGATGTTGCCTTGAGAAATACATCCTGTTCAGTGGGAAGGAGACTTTTATATAATCATTTCCTTGGAAAAAATATATTAATAGAAGCTGACCTCACAGCTTGTCTTTTTAAAGTGGTTTTAGCTGCTATTTTTTCTTTTCTCCCATGTTAGCTGCCTGAAAATTAAGCATTTGATAGAAATTCTAGGTTGATAGATCTAGTAGGTCTAGGTTGTCATAATCTCAATTATCATCACCAGACATTTATTAAGAACTTGTTATGAGGGAGGCAGTATGGTTTGTACATATTATGAGTGCAGACTAGGGCAGCCTGGCTGTGAGTCCTCATTCTGCCACTTCCTATGGGACCTTGAGCTGGTTATTTAGCCTTTGTAAGTCCCAGTTTCTTCCTGTTATGAAATGGAATTCATATTCTTTACATCCTAGGATGACAAATCAGGTGTTCTGTATAAAAGGCCTAGCACGGTACCTGGCACACAGGCAGAGGCCCTGCTATGTTCTGACCTCTTAGTATTGATATAGTCCAGTGAGGAGGCTGTGGTTGATAGCTGACACTTATATAACACAATTAGTATATCAGACACTAACTGCTTTACAACTATTAACTCATCGAATCCTCAGGTAGGCCTATGAGGTATTATTATCCCCATTTTACAGACAAAGAAACTGAGAGAGATTGAGTTGCCCCAAAATCATACAGCTGAGTTGATCAGCCAGGACTAGAGCAAGGCAATCTGGCCCAAGTCCATTCCCTTAACTACCAGGTTATATTACTTCTCATACATCTATGGCCTAAAGTTATCCATTTGGCTTTTTCGGGGGGAAAATGCGTGCAACAGTCTTTCTTTCTTTTTTTTTTTAAGATTTTATTTATTTATTCATGAAAGAGAGAGAGAGAGAGAGAGAGGCAGAGGGAGAGGGAGAAGCAGGCTCCATGCAGGGAGCCCAACATGGGACTCAGTCCCGGGTCTCCAGGATCACGCCCTGGGCTGAAGGCGGCGCTAAACGGGCCGAGCCACCGAGGCTGCCCACAAGAGTATTTCTTTTTTTTTTTTAATTTTTTTAAATTTATTTATGATAGGCACACAGTGAGTGAGAGAGAGAGAGAGAGAGAGAGAGAGAGAGGCAGAGACACAGGCAGAGGGAGAAGCGGGCTCCATGCACCGGGAGCCCGACGTGGGATTCGATTCGATCCCGGGTCTCCAGGATCGCGCCCTGGGCCAAAGGCAGGCGCTAAACTGCTGCACCACCCAGGGATTCCCACAAGAGTCTTTCTGTGTGAGATATCTCATCCACTGTTTGGGCAAGAATTAGGAGTGAAGTTGATACTTATAAGAGGCAATTTTCAATTTGGATTTTGATCTCAAGTCTCATCTACAGCTTAGCCACCCTACCTTCCCCGGAATCCTTTGCTATGCCCAGAAATGGGTTTCCAAATAGGTCTTCAGTTTTTATGGAAGAGCAGAGGGAGTACCTAGGGTAGAAGGTAACACTCAGAATTTCAGTTAATGACAACACTGGGCACATATAGGAATATTCTTAAGGAAAGATGAAAGGAGAGTCTTCCTGGATGGATGGAAAAATAAGGTGATCCTGTCTTCATAAGGATCCAGGATATAACCATTGGACAGAATATTTAGTATGTATGAATTTCATAAAAATAAATAATTTCAGATCACTTTCATTTTGAACTTATAGAAACCACAAGTGATTCAGAACCCAAATGAAACTACAAATCTACAAAAATTTATACTTATGGTATAAACTATGGCCTCTTTATAATTGTCCAGTAACTTATAGTTTGTTAGAGGAAGAATGGTTCAAAACACAGGGGCTTTAAAGCCTAAGACCCTTGGGGTCTTATTTCCCCTGAGCTACTTCCTACCTTTGTGGTCTTGGGGAAGTTACTTCATCCTGCCAACCTTCAGGGTCCCAGTCTGTCAAATGGGGATAATAATATCTGCCTCTTAGAGCTGCTGTCAGTATACAGTAAGGTAACATGTAGAGTGTTCGGCATATAATGGCCATTCAGTAAGTGAGCATCATCATCATATTAGGCTTCAAGGAGAAAATCCTAAAGCTACTTTCACAAAACAAACTATTTTAATAGAAATATCTGCAAGACCCAAAAAACAAAAGAGGGTGAATGGTTGATTGATAGCTGTTATGGCTTTGAGAAGTGGTGCAGGGGCTCATCATGCTTAGAGACAAGGAACCCTTGCTAGTACTCCCTCCCTCCCCTAGTTTCCCTCATCACGTTTTCCAGGTAGCCATAGACTAGAAGGAAAGAGTGCAAAGGAAAACAGCCTGATATACACCGCGATGCAGCCAGGCCTTGGGTCCCAGCGATCAGGAAAGTGGTGGCTTATTTATAGCCTAGCTGCCAGGTAGGCAGAGAAGCCTAGCTGACAGGTAGACCGAGAAGCCCAGCCCACTGTGCACTGTGCTCAGACTAAGCAAGTCTAGGTTTCAGGGTTACCTAAGATGAAAATAACGATCTGCATAAACAGATAAATGTCTGATTTTGATTAAATTATCACATGTGAAAGACCTATTAGAGATGCCACAATGTGTGATAATTGTGGTATCCTCAGAAAAATGGCATAGGAAGAAATCAGAGGACTTGTAAGTATATATATGATGTATTTTAAATTATAAAAGTAGCCTTTTTATTATAGGAAATGTGAAAAATACAGAAAAACACTAAGGAAAAATAAAACACTCATTATCCCACCATCCAGTATTAGCACTATTCACATGTTGGGAATAACCTTGCAGTCTTTTTTTCCCTTGTGACTTTACCCATATTTTTTCACAATTGCAATCTTCTGCACATGTTGTGTTATAAGTTGCTGTTTTCATAAGATAGCATATTATAAACATGTTTTATAAAATTAGATATTTTTGCAGCATCACTTTTAAGATCTTTATGGTATTTCACAATATTTTGTTTAACCAGTCCCTTGTTGTTATATTTAGGGTGTTCCCAAACTTTGGCTGTCATAAAAAAGTGAATTATTGTGGCTAAACATTGTACCCAATTTCACCCTAAATTCATAGAGGTGGATGTCAGTGTCTTGCACACTATGTTTGCTGGGAGGTATTCAGGGCAGCCCGAGATGGTTTAACCGGCCCATGTCTTAGAAAGCAGCTCTCTAGGTTCAGCGGCGACTCCTTTACCCTAATGGGCTTGAGGCCCACAGCTCTGAAAGGTGGGTGCTGGGAGGGGAAAGGAGAGGGTGCATAGGAATCTTCTTACCAGCTGAGTTTTCTGAAAGTTCAGCTGGGCATGATTTTTCTGTGATTACTTTCTCCAGTGAGTGTGGAAGCATCAGGAATCAGCAGCAAACATGCCTGGTAATTGACAGATGTCAGTGGTAGGTGACAAATGTCAGTGGTAGGTGACAGATAATCAGAGACTAGGAATCACCTGTGTTTCCATACCTTTATTTGCTAAATATTTTCAAAATGAAAATTTAACTGTGTATGATGTTGAAATGCAGTATCTTCTTGACCTGAATATAGCATTTTAGAGTTTATAAGAATTGTGTAGTCTTCTGAGCATGTATTTACATAAAATTGGAAAAGTGTTTTGAGCACTATTGGTAAAAGTTTAAGCACTATAAGTAGTGTATAAAAGACTGTGTACAAGAACTCTGAGTCTTGCTAATGACATACCAATTAGAGAAAAGATGGACTCTCCCATGAAACTGACATGACATGACAGTGCTCTCAATGAATGTAGAACATAGGGGAGGAGGATGACATGGAGGAGGTGAGTGAAATGCCTCTGACTGGTGAAGGAGTGGTACTGGATGTGAATAACAAGCTGACAACAGCTGAAGAATATATCTAAAAATATGTGTTCCGCCTGGGAGCCCCGGAAGGCCTCTGATGCTTTCCTCAGATCTCTTACACCTTTCCTCCATCTGACCAAACACGCCTTTCATAGTCAAAATAATAAGACAGTTTCTTATGCCTCTAATCTTTTCAATAACCATTAACAACATGAGCAGTCTTTTGAATCTGATCATTGGACCCATTAGGTATTATCTGAGAAGAACAAGATTGTCATTTGCCTTGACAAAGAAATACATGAATAAATGTATAAAATGCCCCAGTGTTTTATTAAGATCTGCCACAGCCCCCCGTGTGGCACAGGCTAGCTAGTATTCCCGGTTTTCAGTATTATTGAATCTGTGTCTTTGTGTTTTCATGAATGTTCAACAAAAACATGAATCAGCAGCCCCTGTCTTTCTATCTCTGTACCCAGAAATCAGAGTTGTTTTTTGTCTCACCAGCTTTTTAAATTTTTAAAAAGTTTTTGGGCTGTCATCATTTTAAGAGTTCTAAATATACTTTATTCCTGCTTATAAATGACTATTCATTATTACATAATGATTTTTAATAAGTACTTCTGTAGGACTGCCTCCTATGAGGCAGATACATTACTAAGGATTTTTCCTGTATCATCTGTAATCTTCACAGTAATCCTTAACATATAAGTGTTCCCCCATTACGTATTAGGAAACAGAGGCTCAGAGAGGGTAGGTTATCTCCTTATATCTGAGAAACCATGTAGCCATGAGATTCCAGGTCAGGCCAGCCCAAAAGCCATCTACCTCTCACCTTGTTTGGGGGAGCTGAGCAAAAACAGAGGAAAATAGAACAGTGTATAAAACCTTACAGAAAAAAAAAAACAAAAAAACAACAACAAAAAAAACTTACAGAGAAAAACTCCAAACCCTTCCATCTTGGATAGCTAGACCCCTCAGACATACTTCAGTGTTTTTCTAATGCTTTACCAGCTTTTCAGCCAGTATATGGTGTTTTTTCAATGCTAAATTCATTGTTTCAGACTTCCTCCCCCCTCCTGCCCCTTTGATCTTCCAGGCCCTCAGTACCGCCTAGAGAAGCAGAGTGAGCCCAATGTCGCCGTCGACCTGGAGAGCACTTTGGAGAGCCAGAGCGCGTGGGAGTTCTGCCTGGTCCGCGAGAACAGTACGTTGGCCTCCTCGCTCCGTGCCCACTTTGTCCGTTGCAAACATGCGTAGGAGTCCTGTGTTCGGGAATACTCACTGGTCTGGCTTCGCCAGGCAGATTTGAAATGACTCGGTTTTCCAAGGTAGATCTCAGCCTTTGTGCCAAAAGTGTGTCCCAAAATGAAATGATTGATTTTATGCATTTTGGTAAAATGTCTGCATCCTGTTTAGCACTCTGTGATTAATATTTTTCTGGTAAGCTGTGTCTTCCTAAGTTAAGAGCAGCCTTGGAAACAACAGCTTAAAGATAAATATGAGGCCTTTTCTGAGGACTATTTTGTATATAAAACAACTGGCCTTGTCAGTATCACTACCATGACTTCAAGTTTTAGAAAATTCTCTTTGCATACTCATTAGCAAGAGGCAGTGTAATGGTTCCTAGAGCTATGCTGTAAGCCTTTTTAAAACTTCAGGTTTTTTCTTCTTTAGTTTCTGTGTTGTGAATCTTTGCCACTCCCTCTTCTGTGCTCCCACTAACTTAGGGGACAAGAATGTAAAAACCGAGATTATGGTAGCCAACTCCGCTGTTGTTCCTGCTTACACAGGCTGTTTCTTCTGTGAGGAGCACACTTTCCCCCACTCTGGCTGTTTCTCATCCTTTGTCTCAATTCACATGTCACATCTTCAAAGAGGCCACCTTTTTTTTTTTTAATAAATTTATTTTTTATTGGTGTTCAATTTGCCAACATATAGAGTAATACCCAGTGCTCATCCCATCAAGTGCCCCCCTCAGTGCCTGTCACCCAGCTACCCCCATCCCCCACCCACCTCCCCGTCCACCACCCCTAGTTCATTTCCCAGAGCTGGGAGTCTCTCATGTTCTGTCTCCCTTTCTGATGTTTCCCATTCATTTTTTCTCCTTTCCCCTTTATTCCCTTTTACTATTTTTTTATATTCCCCAAATGAATGAGACCATATAATGTTTGTCCTTCAAAGAGGCCACCTTTGATCCCCCTACTCCCCTTACCTGAACCTGATCCATTCCTCACTTGGTACCCTGTTCTATTCTGTCATAGAGTATACTACTTTTTCTTCATTATATATAGTTCTCTTTATAATTATATGTTTTTCTCAATGATTATTTGTTGTCTGTCTCCCCCACTAGGTTATCAGGTCTGTGAGAGTGTCATTGACCTGTACCATGTTGTCCCTCATTATTTCAGCAAATATTCACTCATTATCCACTATAGGCCAGTACTGTAGGAGCTTAGTAAATGTAGATTGACTGAATGAATAAATGGCAGTTTTTAGTCATGCCACTGACCCTCTCAGCAAGACCAGCTTGCTACTCACTGACCATGGGGCCCTGACAGCCTCTGTTGAAGACTCATGCACAAATTTCACCAGGATGGTGAAACATGATCTTTGCATTTAGCAACACAATCTAAAACGCAGAAAAAGTTGGTATCCCACAGTCTGCAGCCAATTATAAGTATCTTATATAAATATACAAAGAAATAAAAATCAAGAGGATTCCCAAATGGTAAAAAATTCAAATAAATAATAAAAAAAGTTTATCCCGGGGATCCCTGGGTGGCGCAGCGGTTTAGCGCCTGCCTTTGGCCCGGGGCGCGATCCTGGAGACCCGGGATCGAATCCCACATAGGGCTCCCGGTGCATGGAGCCTGCTTCTCCCTCTGCCTGTGTCTCTGCCTCTCTCTCTCTCTCTGTGTGACTATCATAAATAAATACAAATTAAAAAAAAAAAGTTTATCCCTATCAACAACATAAGATAAAAACATTTTAAAGCAACAATGGAATACTCTTCACCTATCAAATAAGCCAGGTATTTCAAAAAAAGAGCCCATATGACTGGAAAGAAATAGACATATTCAAACACCAGTGACTAGCATGAGTTAATGTAACTGTGAGAATCAAGAAACATAAAAATGTTTTCCCCAGCATTTCTGCTTTTGGAAATCTGTCCAAAGGAGAAAAGAATCTAAAATGCAATAAGTATATATGTATAATGATAGTTGTTAGATATTTATATTATTTAACACTAGAAGAGTAGTTAGATGAAGTGTATATGTATACTTAAAAAAATTGCACAGAGCATCACCTTTTGGTAAAGGCAGACCAAGTAATTTGAACAAATTCTCCCAATGAAGGTAACTTAAAAAGCTCATTAAAATCTACAAATCATCACCCTAAAGTTATCAGAAAGCACAAGATAGAAAATAATTAATGGCCTATATGTGGGAGAAGGTTGAACCAAAAGAACTGAGAGCAATACCTAAGAATAATTTTACCTGAATATCATCTGAACTTGAGGGCTGCTGTATGTAAAGGAAATTTTATAGCTTTCAGATTCATATATTACAAAAGAAGAAAGGCCAAAATATAATAAATAAGCATTCAGCTCAAGAAATTAGAAAAGAAACCAAATAAAGAAACTTAAAGAGAATTGAAGGAAGTAATAAAGAGCATAAATTAATGAATTAGAAGATTTAAGGACATCAAAACCAAAAATTAGTTCTTAGAAAACATTAATAAATTACTAAACCTCTGATGAGGGATCCCTGGGTGGCGCAGCGGTTTGGCGCCTGCCTTTGGCCCAGGGCGCAATCCTGGAGACCCGGGATCGAATCCCACGTCGGGCTCCCGGTGCATGGAGCCTGCTTCTCCCTCTGCCTGTGTCTCTGCCTCTCTCTCTCTGTGTGTGACTATCATAAATAAATAAAAAATTTTAAAAAAATTACTAAACCTCTGATGAAATATATTAAAGACAAGGAAGAAAAATAATAGAAACAAATAGTAATAAAATAAAAAAAGAGGTATACTTTTATTGCCAAGGATCTACGGTTATTAAACAGCATGAAATTATTTTGAAAACCTCCATACTAAAAATTGTGAAAATGTAGATGAAAAGGACAAATTCCTTTTAAAAAAATGACAATTTGCCAAAATTGACACAAGAAGAAATAGAAACCTTGAATATACTCATAACTATTTTGAAAATTGAGTTCACAATTAAAAACCTTCCCACAAAGAAAATTCAGGCCCAGTTTATTTTGCTAGCTAGTTGTACCAAACACCTATGGAAGAAATTACTCCAGTCTTACATCAGCTGTTCCAAAGAATAGAAAAAGAAGTGTCACTCTCCATTTCAGTTTAAGAGACTATCTCAGTCTTGTTACCAAACCCTATTAAAGACAATGCAACACAGAAAATTTAAATAGACACTATTAAATTTTTGCAACACAAAAACTTAAATAACCTAAACAAAATGTTAAATTAAATCCAGTATTCTATTAAGGGGATAATAGAGCATTCCCAAGTTGGTTTATTCAGAGAGTAACAAGGTTAGTGTGACCTAGTCAAAACAATTAATTTTTTAGGAATTTCACTCATATTATAATAACTAATTATTTATCCCTATGTAATAGTTAGAGATTATATCATTCCAAACCCCCACCCCCCCCATAACTACAAAACAAAACAATATACCAAAAAACTTATCATTATTAACACAACTCTAAACACAATCAAAACATTAAAAACACATTTCTCCAACCCAAAATAATAAAACCTTCTCCACATACCTTACCCCCCCACCCCACCACACACATACCCCCCACCCCCCCCTCCCCACCCCTCCCATCCACTAACTACCACTATTAACAAAATTCTCACGATAACAAAAAAACCACCATACCAAAACAACCAACCAACTCTAAACCTATATTCATCATCAAACAATTCTCCACCCCCTAAATCCAAAAACCCCCAACCACATCTCCCATAGATATACCCTAAACTTATACTATCAACACCACCAAAACAACTAAAAACCTATCTTCCTCACAAAATTTACCAATCCTCATACCAACCCCCAAATTCATATTATAACACATAAATAATACATAAAACATAATCACGGTAATTATGGTACTCCTATCTTTTTTCATTCTTTCTTTCTTCATAAGGCGACTCTTTATTTGATAGAAAGTGTATTTTTTAAATGCATGAGGTTATAATAATGCTCTCAGTGTCTTTTTTCATGCTATGCGCGTGCGGTCCACAACTCGGCCGCCCCGCCAACAATCACTCTCCTCTGTCTGATTATGGTGTGTGTGTATAGAGTAGATGAGTGATATGATATGAGAAGTCATGCACTCTTTCGTTATTTCGACCCTGAGTGTTCGTGTGTGTTTTGGTGTTTCCAACCCGTCGGAGCGCACTCGCATAAGATTTTAGGAGTGGTGTGACAGGTTTGCGCGCTTGTAGAATATGGAGAAGTGTAAGAGTGAGGTGTGATGGCGTGAGCTGCTGTAAACAGCTCAAATCCATTCTCACGCTCGCACGCGCGCGCTCGCCCTTTCCTCTCTCACCTCAGACTCTTCTCTCGTTACTAATTCCTACTATCCTGAGACAAACAGTTGTTTCCAGTTCTCACGTAAGTTATCATCTTTATTAGGAGATAGAGTCTGGGTGTGTGTATATGCAGCATCTCTGTTAAGGAATGATGAGGATACATTTGGTGTAGGCGGTAGGTAGCTTGAGTGGGCGTGTAGACGAGTGGAGGTGTGGTGGTCGGGGATATTTTGTGGCGCATGTTACACATATATACAACAAATGTGTGCACATCTGTACTTCCCTGTTTAGAAACAAATGAAGACAAACTTACTTAGTGTTCTCATTTTTTCTTTTATCATTTTTAAATTTTTTTATTTATTTGAGAGAGAGCACAAGCAGGGAGGAGTGGCAGAGGGAGAAGCAGCCTCCCCGCTGAGCAAGGAGCCTGATGCAGGACTTGATCCCAGGACCCTCAGACCATGACCTGAGCCAAAGGCAGATGCTAACTGACTGAGCCACTCAGGCGCCCCTTCTTTTATCATTTTAACAATACATTTGTAGAAATTATTCCACATTAATCCACATGTGTGTAATGTACACATACGTGTAAATTCAACCTTTTTCAACTGTACCACAGTATATCATAGTATACTGTGATTT